GGGAGAGGGAAGAGAATGCTTACTGCTCCACCGTGACACCTACCCAATGTCGCAAATGTCTGCTCATGGAGTGTAATAAGGGAGTGCCCGTAGTGGGAGTGAGGAGTGAGGGAAGCGCATACCGCATCCTGACACTCACCTAACACGTTGAGCTTGGCGTTATTTGAAAGCACGGCAGGCATGGAAGGAGTAGCTCCTATTTGGCACTGATAGATGGCGTCGTCTCCCAGTTCTACGTTCATCACCTGCAGGTTGTACTCGCCTAGAATGCGCATGCGCGAGAGAGCCGAAAAAACAAATTATGAACACGGACACACGATATCGGTGACTCACAAGGGGGAGCCGGAAACGGGAAGAAGGGATCTGGGAGGCAGACGGATGTTAAATCACGGACGCACGACGTAACACGATTAGAATTTAGCAGAATTTATACATTTATTTATTTTTTTCTCATCGAAGCGGCATATCGCGACATCCAGGACGGCAAGGGTATTAACCCCTTACCCCCGGAACGCGGCCACTGACAGCTCTGAAAAGCTGCGTGGCTGCACTGGCCAACTAGATGGTATACAATGAACTGCACTGACACTGACAAGACTATGCTAGAATATCATCAATGTAATCGTTAAACAAAAGGCCGTTGAACTCAACTCTCGTTCGTTACTCAAAAAAAATCGACGTCACCGGATGAATAATTATTGCGACGCAGCGACGGAAGCCGAACGTACCGGCGGATTCGTTTCCGACGAGCGAGTAACGAGGGAAGTAGGGCAGCTTTCTGTCATTGCCTAGCCCGAACTCGTCCTTTGTCCACTGAACGACGCCTATAGCGCCCTCTACGACGCACGGAAGGATGACAGTGTGGTCCTTGATGATGTTGACATCCTGCGGCTCGACAAGGAAACGTTGCATGGCGGCACCTAATGCAAGAAAGATACACGACAACAATGAGACGCAATTCGCGACAACATTGAGACGCAATTCGCGACAACATTGAGACGCAATTCGCGACAACATCGAGACGCAATTCGCGACAACATTGAGACGCAATTCGCGACAACATTGAGACGCAATTCGCGACAACAATGAGATTCAACATTGAGTACGACGACAACATTAAACATGTTCACCGTACCAGGGTAGGGAGGGGGGTGTAGATGGAATCTTACATTTCATCGTAATGTACGAGAAACTTAATGCATAACAATGCTAATGCTCATGATTGCAAACAATATTTAGTATATGATGGTGTTAATATTAAACGGCCATATAGAGAGTCGTAGCTAACGCATTTTGCCTAAGGGTAGCTTGTTTTCTTGGTAGCTGACTGTGGACAGTCCGTCACTGGCCATGTAATAGTATCTACATTAGTCATCTCTGGGGGGTGGGGCTACTTTCCCTTTGTCGCTCCCTATTCCCGCTAACCACCATGGCTTTTCATAAAGCCACATTAAAAATGAATCGATCCCATATTATTTACACGAACAATAAATTGAAAATTGGGGATGGGGGTCGGGGAAAACGACGAACCATCAATGAAAATAAGATTTCTAGAAAATGAATAGGAAATAGTTTTCTTCTAATGACAAACAGGCGGATGCTGTTAATCAGGCTTATTTGAATCTCTGGCAGTAAAATATATGGAAGATACGGCAGAGTAACCTAGCTGTGGTAAGCGCTCCAGCAGAGTACTATCAATAGTTGCATGACATACATTTTGTTCATAACATTTTTGGACAAGTGGGGTCACACACACGCGCACGCACACACGCAGGCATACGCACACGCACGCACACACCCACGCACGCACACACTCAAGCACGAACACATGCGGTCACACACACGCGCACGCACACACGCAGGCATACG